GTGCATTTAAAGCATTTTTTGTTTACAAAAGAAGTAACAGAAAAGTTATTACCTTCTACGAACACAAATGTATTTGAACAGATATTATTACAGGATCTACCCACAGAGTGAAAAACTCTGGAGAATACAAGTATATGCTGAAATCTCAGCAAGATTAGAGTTTTGTGTTTCAATAAACTCTTTTCAAAGCACCTGCAAGATAACCCACACCCTTTAATATATCCTGACAGTTTTGTGATACTGAATGAGGGATTTTTTCAAGCTTAAGAACTTAAAATGCATGAAATATTGCATAACACAAGAAAATTTTTAGGCACTGTAAAAATCACCGGATCTACAAACGGTTATATTGTTTTTTCTTGCCCTGCCATCTGAGATTAGGAATATTTTAAGTAATGCCGTACTGCAGTTATAAACACAAAATGCTCCAGGACAGTCATAGAAGCAGCTCCTGAAAACATGCACTTTTTCATCACAAAGGAACAAGGCTTTTTTTTTTAAACTTGAAATTCTTGGGTAAATGACTTCTTAGCAATGTGTTACAACTCATTACAGCCTACTCCTTAATGGGCATATCTCCTACACAATTCTTCTACACAAACATCAAAAACTGAAGTTTGAAATCATATAATAAAAACCCTTCTGGGCTACCACTTGAGTAGGTAACCCAAGTTTCAGAGCATATTACAGTACAAACCCTTCCCACTTATACAAGTTCCTCACAGAGTTACAACAGCTTCAAATAAAAGGACAGTATCTGTCCAAATGGTGACTATTTCAGATTTTATTGTTAAATCCTATGTTAAAATGTCTGAAGGTAAGCCCAACCTGGGGTTCACTAGACACTGTGAACATATGAAGCAATACACGTGGAAAAGTGCTAAAAACAGTTTAAGCAGAAGCTGTTTGTGGCATTAACCAAATTCCTACCAGTAAGACTACTCCTATAAGTAAAGACAAACTGGATCACAAATACATGGACAAACACATCCAAGCAAACAGACCCTGTCTGAGAAACTTGTACAGTATATCACACTAAGGGAACATAAACAGTCAACGCTTGATGGGGTATAAAAAACGGGAGCTTGGTTACAATTCTCTGGGCATAGATAATGCTTTTGACAATCTGCAGGTTCCGTCTCCAGTGGGGTACCTAAGCACCATCAGCAATAATCCCACTGGTGGAATTTCTTCATGGCATTACTTCATCAATGTTAATCTCTCCATGACATAAGCATGTGACGAAACATAAGACAGTCCCTTGCCTAGAGGAAAGGACCTCACTTTCAGACAGCCACGTATGTGTCACCTTTGAGTCCTGTCCCTTTCTCTGCTCTATCAAGCATATGTGAACTCCAAATAAGCATGCAAAATATAAGTAAACATAACGTGCACATATACAGGCAGATTCTTCTGTAATATCCAGAACCCCTTTGCTTAAAAATCACTTCCCTATCACTAATAATGTTAAACATACAGTTTTGTGGGCAGGTAGGCCGCAGTATCATCTTTGCTCTTGATGATGTCATTACACTTGTCAAGCGTCTGAAAAACAGTAAATGTGTCTCCAATGCTGTAGAGAGCAGCAAGATTTTTTGCTAGTAGTTTTCGCGTAGGTGGCCCAGGGGAACTGCTGATGAGTCCTGTTAGCTGTTCTACAAGTTTCTTCTGTTTTTCCTTGACATCTGTCTGTTAATGGACCAAAAATAAGTGAAATTAATCATTTAATCCTGTGTTCTCCATCCAGCACCCAGAAAAACCTACAAGAGATTGAAGTAAATCTTATACCACTCCCACTTGTATGTAATTCAGCAAACTGCTTGTCTCACAGAGATCTGAGATATATTCAAGAACAAGAGACAGATGCTAAATACTCAAATTAGCTGTTACCTTATTAATTTTTAACTTTTAAAAAAATACTTACTAAAAATACAGTAACACCTGTCTAGAACATCATTTAATCCTCTTTACCATCAAGAATCCCTACGCTGAGAGGGAAGTTTTTGCCTTCCGAATATTTAGGACAATCAAGAACTCAAACCAAACTATGCATTATACAACAGAGAGTCATACTGACTGCCTACAATTAAACACTTAAAAGCTATAAACTAATACAGAGGGTCTTCAGGCTGAATCTGAAATCATACAGTTATCACCTGGCCATTACCTGTGAACTTCCTTTAGCATGAAATTAATACAAATGTTTCAGAAAGAAGGGAAAAAAATTACCTTGTTAGCAGCTACCAGCACTTTATCCAAAAATCTTAACCACTCAAAGATAAAGACTGGTCTCTTTGCTTCTGTGATTTGAGCTAATGCTTCCTCGTTCAGTAACAAACTATGAGCCAGCTCCATAACTGGTTAAATTCCAGTTTTATTGTAAATTTGTGTAGCGTTTCTGAAATAAAAATGTAAATATTAGTATAAAGTACAGCAGTACAAAACTTTGAAAATCAAATTAAAATATGAAGATGAAATCTACAGATTACAGTATCATGGTTCCAGACTGCTTAGGCTTGTCTTAACTAAGCAGTCCCACATAAAAACTACTCACATATTTACAACTGAGTACATCCATTAGTATTTCAGAGAACAGAGTTGTTAAATTGTAAAAACAGCACTTATAGGCAACTTCAGAGTGCTAACTCTTAGCCAAGAAAAATATACTGAAGTCCCCGTTTAAAGAAAAAAAAAACACACACAAAAGAGGTAAAGGAGTCACATATCTCCTCTTACATATCACAAAATAAGGACTGTCCCTAATCAAGACTCCTGTCTACACTCCCAAAGCTTGGTCATGAACCTGGCCACCTTCTCAACATCTTCAACAGACAAAGTGAGAAGGAGATAAGCCTATCACAAATAGGAATTTCCACCCATCAAAAATTTGAGAGAACAGGAACAGTGACAGCATTTGCATCACTGACCTAAGACTTCCCAGATCCCACTAGCTCTGCTTTAAGTGCTGGACAAATAGGCCCCCTGAAACCCAGCAAGCCTTATGTGTGACAGCCTGGAATGCAAGTAGCAGCCCAATGACTACAAGTGTCCCCAACAGGCAAAATACTACATATCAAACACTGGAAATCCTGCTCAAACAGTGAATGAAGGGTAGCAACAAAGCACTACCAAAAGCCCACTATCAGTGCAAGCAAACACTCTGCAGACAAATTCACCTTAGCAAACCACATTTACACCAAGTGTAGCTGTTTAATGCAGAACGGATAGAAAAAACTAAAACTTATCTGGAAATCACAAATTTAAGTCAATCATCTTCAGCAAAAAGAAACCCAAAAAGGGGAAAAAAAAAAAAAAAAAAGAGAACCCCAAATCCTGAATGCAGTGATGCTGAAACTAGGATCTCAGGCAAAACAAAAAAAGCAAAGCAGCTAAGGAGTATTATATAAGACATCATCTTTTGACAGCTGCACCATTCCACTTGCACTCTCAAGTGCTCCCAGCTGCTTCCTCATTCATGGTCAAACCCAACAAATTTTTAAAGTCAAATGAATTTTACTTTTTTTAAAAACAGTCCCCAGATTAGACAGTAGTAAAGAGTGAGATATGAATATTACAGCTGTTCTAAATTCACCTTGATGATTTGGTGCTGATGAAAGTAAAGTATCACAATGTCTGTCATACTAAGCATGTTTTCCGCACTATAATACTCTCCACTGCACGCATCTCCAGCAATAGATCAGCAAAGGTGGAAGAGCCGCATATGGGAGCACATACAGCCCTCCCCCAACACCTCCAAAGACATCTTCTAGCTTTTCTTTTTTTGACTATAAAGAATTGAGGAGGTATTACCTACCAATAAGACACAGACACATCACCTTAAAACACCTTTACATGAGAGCAGAGATGCCCGCAATGAATGATGGCACTATGATTCTTTGGATACCATCCCAGAGATTTATGCTGCTTATCACCCCCGCACAGCACAGGAGTACGGTATGACAGCACAGCTCATTACTCATTTTCTTCCCCAGATAAAAAGTTTCACATTTTGCCTGGCCTTCAGAGCCATGAACCCCCTAGGCAGCTTCCACATACTCCCTTATCTCTTCATCTAAATTTAGCAGACTCAAGTTCTGAGCAACCAAACCCACACATACATTCAGCTGCGCCACTGAAGCACGAGGGATGGGATATAAGAACAATCACATGAATATTCAGCTAAGTGAAGGCTCAGTCTAATACACAGCTATGCAAGGAGGCAATCTGAAGCTCACCTACATTGGCTGAAGGTTTGCTCCGAAATTCCGTGAAAAATGCCTATCAAGTTCTACTGATTCTGGAAAGGGCTGGGTCTTACTGCAGATGTTACAAGTAATAAATACATCGTTATCTCCCACAGAACGTAGAGAAAAAGCCTACCAGCGTCAGCTTGCGTCCAGTAAATTACACTGGAGCATTAGAGAGATTATAAAACGTTCAGATGGACTAGAGTTCCCTCCTGTTCTCCAGCTATTTTTCTGTACTCTAGATCAACTATTTGGACCTTCATCACGCAGGAGCTTCAGTGGACTAACTGAAAAAGCTGAAAAACGGGCACGTTTAGGAAAAGCGACATCCTCCTAAAGACCCGATTCAGGTGAAAACCCTGGGTCCTTCTACCTCTATCGGTCCATAAGCTGTAGCACCTCTCCCAGCGCACCCTGCCTGGTTCAAAGCCCCCTCAAGACCGCACTACCGCGGCAGCTATGCGCCAATTTCTGAGCGAAGGAATAATGCCAAAAACGCAGCCAGCAGCCTCCTGCCTCCCGTCCCCCCCACCACACACACACACCCCTCGGGCGCACAGGGGCACGCCCGTCCCCCACACGCACCCAAACCCCGGCGCCTCTCCTCTCGGGGGGGCCGGAGG